CACCTGCAGTTGTTATTTTTAACATAAAAAAAAGACGACTTGGAGCAAATTCACTGTTTTTTAAATTGGATTAGCTGGTCTGCCCAAGAAGCAGGTGGCTAATAAAGATGTTAAATTATCCTGTCCGGCTTTGCTGCTGTGGTTAGTGGAAACAAGGTTTATTTGGAAAAAGGATTACTGTTTCAGCTGGGGTAATACATGTTAAATAAATTTAAAGGGCATTGCCCCAGGGATGAACTGCTGCATAAGGAAGTATTGGATGTGCTAAATAAGTGATAGTTGCATTATTGGGATGTAGTTGCTGTCTTGTTTTAGAATAGGGGAACTTCTGTTGAGGTTTTTCCCCCCTCCCCCTCGCCCATATGAGCTTTTATACAGTGGTACCTTGGGTTACATACACTTCAGGTTACAGACGCTTCAGGTTACAGACTGAAGCCAGACTAACCCAGAAATAGTACCTTGGGTTAAGAACTTTGCTTCAGGATGAGAACAGAAATCATGCGGCAGCGGCAGTGGGAGGCCCCATTAGCTAAAGTGGTACCTCAGGTTAAGAACAGTTTCAGGTTAAGAACGGACCTCCAGAACGAATTAAGTTCTTAACCAGAGGTACCACTGTATTCCATTTCTTTTCTCCATATGAAACAAACGAGTAACCTGTTTGGGGGTGGAGAAAAATATTGGGGGGGGGGGAGAGAAGGGGGCACTGCTGATTCTGACCCTACCCACTTTTTGACTTCAGCCTTGCCCATCTCCAGTGTACAGCCTCTGAGGAATTAGGGAATGTAGCTCTTGACATAGAAATGTTCTTTTTTGCTTGCTTGAATTTGTACACACTTTAGGCAAAAAGGTTCCCAGAGTGGTTTACATACAGTCAATGAAAACATACAGTCCCCTGTCTTAGTCCCCTCTCCCTCTCTTTCTCTTCCTAATCCTAACACACATGGGGAAAGGGGCATGGAGGAAAGATGGAGGGAAATCAAACTCTGGCAACAATTCTTAAACAGTTCGTTCTTATAATTAACAGCTTACGTAGTTCAGGGGTGGAAGGTGCCTGATGGAGCCAAGCTTTCGGAGCTTCCCACATTCTGAAGTAGAGACATTTCTGCCCTTAAGGAGCTGGTCCATAAGCTCAGTGGTAGGGTGCCTGCTTTGCATGGAGAAGGTCCCCGGTTTAGTCCCCAGCATCTACAGGTTGGGCTGGGAAGAAACTCTAGATAGTTATTGCTCTGGTTATCTCCCGCTTGGACTACTGCAATGCACTCTACGTGGGGCAACCTTTGAAAGTGACCCAGAAACTACAGCTATTCCAGAATGCGGCAGCTAGACTGGTGACTGGGAGTAGCCGCTGAGACCACTTAACACCGGTCCTCAAAGACCTACATTGGCTCCCAGTAAGTTTTCTGAGCACAAATCAAAGTGTTGGTGCTGACCTTTCAAGCCCTAAACGGCCTCGGTCCAGCATACCTGAAGGAGTTTCTCCGCCCCCATCGTTCAGCCGAGGCCTTCTGGCAGTTCCCTCACTGCGAGAAATGAGGTTACAGGGAACCAGTTTGTAGCCTTCTCAGTAGTGACGCCCACCTTGTAGAACGCCCTCCCATCAGATGTCAAGGAAATAAACAATTATCTGACTTTTAGAAGACATCTGAAGGCAGCCCTGTTTAGGGAAGTTTTTAATGTTTGATGTTTTATTGTGTTTTTAATTTCTATTGGGAGCCACCAGTGTGGCTGGGGAAACTCAGCCAGATGGGCGAGGTATAAGTAATAAATAATAATAATAATAATAATTAATAGATGTATTAGTGCTGTTTGCTTGCTTCCAGATGTTTCTTTCATTCTCCTCACGCCGCATGAATGAGAGAAATTGCTGCCCTTCCCCAAGCCCTTCTGCACATGCCAAATAACTCTGTATATGTGTGTTGGTGGGAGTTTGTAAAAAATAAGAAATAGAAGCCAGCCTAGTAAGCCCAGCCAGTATTTTGTGGACCCCTAGTTTTATAGTTTGCAATAAATTAGACTACATTGTTTTTAAAATGTAGAATTTAAGGGGGATTAGTTTTATGATGCTGTCTCTCTTTCTCTCTCCCCCCGCCCACAAAGAATTATGTGACAATCTGAAACAACTTTTTGTGTTGGATCAAAATTTTACTACTGTCATTTTGCCATCATCTAAAAAACTTGAGAGAGGTTGCTGCCAAGAAAAGCTTCTCCTTCAGTATTTTCGTAAGGAGAAGCACAGAGGAATTATTTGGCAACTTGTCGCGGATTTTTTCTTCTCATATTTTCCAGTCCAAACTAACAACTGGCAGTAATTCAGCATACTCCGCAGACAGTATCTGTTGCCGGCCTTGATGACTATATATGGGAACATAGCCTAAATTAATAAATCTGAACATACTTATCTAATGAGTTTGCTCAAGCCTTCTGAGCCATACAGAGATTTTTGTCAGACAGCCCCCACTTTGTACTGGCTGCAAAAATTAGTCATCTTCTTTGAGTAAGAGAAGATGGCAAACGTAACCGTTACATGTTTATCGAGAGGATATATGTTCAGCTAATTGTGAAGACTTTTAAATGACAGAACAAGCATGAGAAGAATTGGTAAATATCCTCTGATAGCTTCCCCCCCCCCCTATGATTAAAGGTTTGAAAGGGAGAGTCCTATGGCAGCTTAAGGAGAAAATAGAAAGCCTGTGTCCATATTAGTAAATAGACCCTGCGTTCTGCAAACTTCAAATTCTCCTCTTTCCTGTCGGAGGCTGGTTCGAGTGGTTGAATGGGCTTGGCTTGCTGTCTGCTGGAGTGTTTGTGCCACTGTTGTGAGGCAGACTGGGCCCCACACTTTCCCACCCTCTTTTTCATGCCGGGGTTACGTCCTACAGGTCGCACCTAAAGCCAAAGTCGCATATAGCCGATGCACATTGGATTGAATGGTGAATGAGATTGCTGATGTCATTTCCCAGATGCACAGCTCCTTTCTGCCCCCCTTTTTTTGCCAAACTCGTAAAGCTGAATACGTTCAAGTTAAATGGACCTAAGTTTTTGTTATTTTTACTTTTATTAGATTTACCGTATTTTTTGCTCTATAAGACTCACTTTTTCCTTCCTAAAAAGTAAGGGAAAATGTGTGTGCGTCTTATGGAGCGAATGCAAGCTGCGCAGCTATCCCAGAAGCCAGAACAGCAAGAGGGATTGCTGCTTTCACTGCGTAGCGATCCCTATTGCTGTTCTGACTTCTGAGATTCAGAATATTTTTTTCCCTTGTTTTCCTCTTCCAAAACCTAGGTGTGTCTTGTGGTCTGGTGCGTCTTATAGAACGAAAATACGGTATATATCTCCCTTCATCATAAGATATCAGGGCAGTTCACAGAAGTTGCGGGCTTACTGTATTTTATTAGTGTTTGAGGTGAATAGGAATGAGTGTAGCTGAAAATGTCAGCCCTTTATTCAAAGTGAAAACGTCTTAAGCCTGCACAGGGGGGAGGGACCTGAGTGCTCCTACTTCAAAAATATAATCTCTGCATAGAAAACTAGAAAGGCAAGGTAAAGGCTATACTAAATCCCTTTACATCTTTCTGTATATGGGCAGGTGTGTGTGTGTGTGTGTGTGTGTGTGTGTGTGTGTAATAGAGAGAGAGAGACCATTGTCATAAGAAGCTGCACATGCTTGGAAAATGTTACATAATCTGGCAAGGATAAAAGCTTTCCTGTGCCCTAGTGATGGCTGAAAGCACCATTCCTGTATACGAAAAGAGAAACCTGGAAACACTTGGGAAGAGTTGGAAACATCTGTATCTTTTGCCCGCCACTTCAAAACCATATACAGTGGTACCTCTGGTTACATACTTAATTCGTTCTGGAGGTCCGTTCTTAACCTGAAACTGTACTTAACCTGAAGCACCACTTTAGCTAATGGGGCCTCGTGCTGCCGTCGCACTGCCGTCGCACGATTTCTGTTCTCATCCTGAAGCAAAGTTCTTAACCCGAGGTACTATTTTTGGGTTTGCGGAGTCTGTAACCTGAAGCGTCTGTAACCTGAAGCATATGTAACCCGAGGTACCACTGTATGGGGGGGTGGCGGCATTGAATTTGCTATGTATATAGCCTTCAGGGTGTATATTTAGAGAGTATAAGCCCTATGACACCATATGCAACATTTTCTTCCCAAAAAGTATTCTGTGATGATCTCCCCTCACCTCACTGCTTCTCTCAAAAAATGTTACACATACTAATCAAAAGGGGCACAATAACTCTGCCTTGTTCTTGCAAATACCTGCTTGAAGATTATTTTAAAGGGTCACTGAACTGGTTCTTCTGCCCTATGAGTCTTTATTTATTTATTTTTTTCAGAGGAAAAAAAATCCATGCTCTTTTCTGTCAGGTAGCTTTATCTATGAAGCTTTGGACATTTTGACCTGAGTAGATCTTTATTTTTTATAGGAGTAGACCTTTGTTTTTCCTCTTGAAGCAATATTAATCTAATCTAGAACACTTGGGTGTCTTTTATTGATTATGCCCCCTGTATTTTAGCTGTTCCCAAGCCTGGGTATATTAAATTTGAGAAATCTGTTAAAATGTCTATGTGCATCCTGTGTAAAATATTAAAGAGGCCACGGTCTGCTGTGCAGTGCTTCTGAACAAAAACCAGTGGAACAGCAATGAGTCTCTTCAGTACCAGAGCTTGATGCATATTACATTTAAATGCTGCAATTCTTTTGTGAGACTCAAGGCAGCATCCATAGGGCTCCCAGGTGGTCTCTGATCAAGGCATTGACACAGACTTGCTTGGCTTCAACAAAGTTGCTGCATCATTTACCTTCATTCTTGGGACCATATAACACATTTTTAAAGCAGATAACACAAATACACTTTAAAAACCCCAAGAACTTGAAAGTAATACTTTTTTTGAAACTTCTGTGTCTAATCTCTTGGTCTGTGGGTCTTCGAGACCTCCTGTTTCTAATAGGTTCGTCTATCGTGGAAGTTTCAATATACTGAATGAGTGTGTGTGTATATGTGCATGTATATGTATATATGTGTATGCGCGCGCACACACACACACACACACACACACACACACGTGTGTGTAGGCATGTGTCTGAAGGCAGCCCTGTTTAGGGAAGTTTTTAATTACTGATGTTTTAATGTATTTTTAATCTTTTGTTGGAAGCCTCCCAGAGTGGCTCGGGAAACCCAGCCAGATGGGTGGAAAATAAATAATGATATTGTTATTGTTATTGTTATTGTTATACATATGCCAGAGGTGCTTTGTAGCAAGAGAGTAATGTCATTTAGCAAAAAACAAACAAAACTGACAGCCTTGTGGAAGAGTGATGCAATTCTATAGTGGGAGATTAAAACAAAGGCACAAAGATGAGTGATTTCTAAGTAAACTCCCTACCATCTCCACCACTGTGTTTAAAGTTTAATGCAGACTGGTACACTTGGCAAGTCTGAGGCATCCTTTTTACCTGCTAGTGCCACGTTTCGCTAGCAGTCCTGTGGCAGTACTATGTGATCTTTCGCAGCGAGCTAGTAACAAAGAATTTTATTAGATGTGGAGCCAAGGGCGGGGGGGACTAAACCACAAAAAAGAGAAGCAGAATTGAGCAATTATTCCCAGTCATGATTTAAAAGTGCAAACACATGGGGGGTGGAGGAATGGGAATGTATGGCTGAAGGACTGTCAAATCCAAAACCACGCTGCTCAGGGCAGAAGGGGTGGGATGGGCAGGCGGGCAGCTGAAGGCAAGAAAAGTTTGGCAGCTACAAGGCTGGCGCATTTCCCCTTGTGGAACACACCTCTGTATTCTAACACCTCGCTTGCTGCCTGCTCCAACAACAGCTGCAACGCTGCAGCAGCACTTCCAGCATCTTTGCAGGAGCAGCGCAGTGCTTGTGCAGCAGTCTGCTTGCTGAAGTGTTGTGGCCTGGACTGGCGGCTTCTCCACTTGCTCAGACAGTCAGGAGCCTTTCTCAACAGTGCTGTCTGTGACTTGCCGGGAGAACAACCAGGCCAGGCCAGCAGCATGCCAACGCATTGGCATTGCCAGGGCACTGGCTCAGGAAAACTGAAATGGCTGGGATGTGGGGGCTGCCATTGCCTGCTCCAGCATCCGCTGCCTGAGGCAGCCACCTCACACTTCGAATGGTGGAGCCAGCCTTGCCTGTAAGGAGGTTGGTTGGCGGGGGACTCTCATAGGCGTGCCAAAGTTCTAGGCTTTTTCTGATGAATTGTTCTGTATAATCAATACTGTATTTTTCCCTGCATAAGATTAGGTTTTTTTCCCTTAAAAAATAATGTCAAAAATTAGGGGGCGTCTTATACAGTGGTACCTCGGGTTACATACGCTTCAGGTTACATACGCTTCAGGTTACAGACTCCGCTAACCCAGAAATAGTACCTCGGGTTAAGAACTTTCCTTCAAGGTGAGAACAAAAATCGTGCTCCGTTGGCCCAGCGGCAGCAGGAGGCCCCTTTGGCTAAAGTGGTGCTTCAGGTTAAGAACGGACCTCTGGAACGAATTAAGTACTTAACCCGAGGTACCACTGTACACGGATATTGCCGAGGGTGGACTGGCGATTGGTTGTTGCAGCAAAAATAGGGGGCATGACAGGAAAATATGGCAATTAAAAGAATAATTTCAGAAGTTCTCCAAGAAGGCTTAGATGCGGGGGGGCGGGGGGTGTAAGTGTGAGAAGCTTGGCTCTTTGTTGAGTTGACTGTTTTCCTCATGACTTTTAGTCTGTTCTGCGATATCATAGTAGTGCAGCCAATGGCTAGGGAGAGTTGCAAACAGGCCACAGTTACAGTATAAGATACCCTCTTTTATAATGAGAGAAAACTAGAGCCGACATTATGTTACTAATGTGCATTATTTCTTAATGTGCAATGTTACGTAATCTTGCAATAAGTTTAGCAACTATTTTTGCAGCCGTTAAGCTACATTCCTTAACACACTTCACTTTTAAGAGTTGGCCTGCTTGATTTCTAATGGTAATGATTTCTACAGTAAATTTATTTTTAGAATAGCAGCCTAGTACGTTTTATGCAAGTAACTATTCTGAGGGTCATTCTGATGTTCTTAATCTGTAGGTATAAATAGTTTGTCTTGTATCCTTCCTGATGTTGGACAGTACTCACAAAGGGGCGAAAAAAAATGCTATCCTTCATTTCAGATTTTGGCTGAAATTTGCATGTGTGTTAGTGTTAAACTGATTGCTTCCTGCCGTCTAGCCTCTGGGATAGCTCAGTTGATAGAGCATGAAACTCTTAATCGCAGGGTTGTGGGTTCAAGCCCCACTTTGGAGGAAAAATATTTCAGGACCTTCGTGTTCCTGTCCAACTCCACAATTCCGTGATTCTATTATCCTTACGGCTATCAGAATGTATGACCCTTTGTTCTGTTTCTTAAGTGCTGGGCAACATTTAAAATTGTTGTTTTCCCCCCTGTCTTCAGCTTTTGGAAATTAACTGGACAGGACTGACCAATCTTCTGGATATTCCAGGACTAAAGTAAGCCAAAAATTGAATGTGAAACTATTTTTTTTTAATAAGTGTTTTAGTGTGTGTGTGTGTGTGTGTGTGTGCATAATTACACAAGATAATTCCAAAGAAATAAGTGTTTGTGTTCCATCTGGTCTCTGCTATACTTGTTGAGAAACTGTCAATGTGATAGGCTGAGTTGATAAACATACTACATCTAAACCTTGGGATTGGGCAGTGCTTAACCATAGCCCTCAGTGATATCTTGAAAACTTTAGAAGAAGAGGAATTGACAAATGTTCTGGCTTTTAGCTTTTTCAAAGTGCATGCATGTAGGTTTTTTTAATGATTTTTTAAAAGACAAACTGGATTAGTAGATAAGAATTTGCAAATGGAACGGCACAAAAAGGCTTGCAGACATGGGTAAGGAAAGTACATATGGGGAGTTGGAAATGCTCCTAAAGACCCAAGCTAGCTGCTTTGCAAGCTGCGAACTGCATCTTGTACAGTTTGTTTTGACTTCCAAAACCAGCCAGAAGAGTTGCAAAATTATGGGTGGCAAAGGTTAACTTTGCTTTGCTGTGAGCTTTCTGGTGAATAGCATCGTTTGTAATTTGCAGCAGTATAACATCTGGAAGAAAACAAGGTGTTTCTATGCAGGAAAAAAACTGCTAGCATTCTAGCTATATTTGGTTTGCCTATTCAAAGGAAAGAATGCAGTCAGTCTACTTTTGTTGCAGTCAAGAGAAGTCCCAGACTTGAGGTGGTGCATATTTGAGGCTAACTTGTAAAGCTCCACCCAGTACTGTAAACTCTGAAATCCTATGCTTACTGTTGATTAATTTCTCTCTCTTTCTTGAGCTCTCAATTTGGGACAAGCTTCTTGTGACAAGCTTCTCTCTAAAACTTTCAGGCATAACTGAGTATCTTTGTTTCTTATTGCTGTCTCCAAATGCAGTAAGAAATTCTTAAGGTTGCTTTATTACAGTACTTTTGAGAGAGAGAGAGAGACTATGCCAGCTTTTTTTGCCTTTATCTTTTGCTTGCCTCTTGACGAAATTAATTGGGGTGGGGTTGCAAAATGTAGGTTTCCTAAAAAAAACTTAGGGCAAAAGTTCATCGCAGACTCTAATTATAACTTGCAGTCATGTGGCCATTTCCACTGGTTGGGCATGTTGGTGCCCCAGTTTGTCCTGCTGTTCATTTAATGATGTGCACTAAGCATCTGCTAGCACCTGCAGAGGTGTTTGCATAATTACTCACTGTGTTGTGGCAGAATGGTGCTCTTGAGTCAGCAGATCCTTGCTCTAAAGCAGGGGTCAGCAACCTTTTCCAGCTGTGGACCGGTCCACCGTCCCTCAGACCATGTGGTGGGCCGGACTATATTTGGGGGAAGGGGAAATGAACGAATTCCTGTGCCCCACAAATAACCCAGAGATGCATTTCAAATAAAAGGACACATTCTACACATGCAAAAACGTGCTGATTCCTGGACGGTCCGCGGGCTGGATTTAGAAGGCGATTGGGCCGCATCCGGCCCCCGGGCATTAGATTGCTTACCCCTGCACTAAAGCATAGCTGGCTTTTGTGAGAGCCTGCCAACTCCCTGGTTGGATATTGATTCCATCCCTCCGACCCCTGGAAACCTTTATTTCACAGTCACACTGCGATCATTCATATCAACTCATTTTTAGGAAGTGACTAACTACCTTGAATACCCACAAATCCAGAGTAATTGACCTATGTGAAAAACTTTTTTTGTTTTCTTTTTTTACATTTTTTTAAGTTAATTTTTTTTATTTGTATTCTGACAGATAAACTTGACATACAAACATATAACAATTAAACATCAAAAAGTGAAAAAATTATAATAAAAAGATGTTAATACACAAAACAAAAAACAACGTTAAGAAAAAGAAAATAATTATTAAAATAAACACATATCTCAAAATAAGTGATATATGTAACCAAATTTCATATCCATTTTCTTTGTTGACTTCCTTCATCCTCTATTTGGGTCTGATATCAACCTTAGTAATCTGTTTGCATTTGTCTACTTATTTTCTCTCTTTGTAATTCTTTTTAATTATCTTTTTTCTAATCATATATCAATTTGCAGAAGTTAATTAAAACAAGTACAAACAGTAATATGTGGGCATTGCTTTTTCAAATATTCATTGTATTTTTCCCAATCTTTTTGAAATTTTTCCTTGCTGTGGCCCCTGATCGCATCTGTCATCCTTGCTAATTCAACATAACTAAATAGTTTGCCTTGCCACTCTTTTTTGGTTGGAATTGTCTCTTTTTTCCAGTTTTTTTGTGATCAGGGTTCTAGCTGCTGCCACGGCATACAAAAATAATTTTTTTCTCATCTTTAGATATATCTGTATCAATTATTACCAGCAGGAAGGCTTCTGTCCCCCCCCCCAAAAATTGTATTTAAAGATTTTCTTCATTTCTTTTTTACATTTTTAAAACGAAAGTGCTGGCTGACTTGTTGAAAGCCTTTTAAAATGTTTTTAAATTGACCATTGGCTCAAAGCTATAAAATATTGTATAACTTCCTAGTAGAGAGAGAGAAAATATAAATGGGCTAATGACTTTGTATGATATCAATGAATCCAAGTGTAAAGGTGGTATGGCTGCATTCTACTTCTGTTCCTTTGAGTAAAGTGTTTTTTGTTTGCAAAACTTCCAAACGCAGTGCTGCAAACTAGCTTCCCTCCTCATATAAAATTTAAACACCGTGGTGTTCATTTGATCTGTACTGATATCAATAGGGCTCAAATGTTTTCTTGGATACCGCAGTAAAAATGTGAAAGTCTAAGTTCTGAAGAGCTCTAGCTGCAAGGCTAGATGAAACCTTAGGAGGATTGCACACCTATCAGTTGTTTTCACAGAGAGAATATGCTCCTCCAATCTATTTAGCCTCAGTCTACTGTTTTCACCATCATTTAATAATGCCACATGAGACTCACACACTCTCTTTTCTTTCCCTTATCTGGCATTCAGCTTCTCTGTACACTTAATAGTTTTGAAAAATGGCTATATAAACTGGTTGGATGATGAAAGGCATGGCCATTTCCCGCTGTTGACTCTTTTCCACTGTTTGCCTGCCTGCCTGCCTGCTGCAGTACTGTCGACTGGTTGTAATATTTTATGCTGATGTTCTGAAAAATTCTGATTCCTGAACAGAGTGGGCGGTGTACAACATTAGTACCTAATCTGCCATGCGTAGACTTCCCATAGCATCTGCCTGCCCTCCCAGAAAATTATTACAGAAGAAGCCTGACAAATGCCCACGTATGTGCTGATACCTTAAGGCTGATGTACTTGTGGAAGCTGCTTTGACTTCCTCCCTGGTGGTGTTTGCACTGACATAGCAAACTGTGTGACCTGAGATAACTCAGTCTCAGAGCATGAGACTCTTAATCTCAGGGTTGTGAGTTTGAGCCCGACGTTGGGCAAAAGATTCCTGCATTGCAGGGGTTGGACTAGATGACCCTCAGTGTCCCTTCCAGCTCTACATTACTGTGATTCTTTGAGTTTGAATCAGTTCGTTACTGTGTGGCTTCCACATGCTCACAAGCTCCAAGTTCAGTCACCTTAGTGGTGCATGTCATGTGCTGTTTCATTTGAGTAAGCTACTCCTTAGAAAAACAAAGTAATTGACTTTTGTATGTTGATTACTTTAAGCTAACATCAGTTTCATCAATATATGATGTATGAAACAATAACTTGGAGTAGTGGGCCTTATTTTCTATTCAACGGTATTTTATAGTAAATAATTAAGGCAACTCGGAGAAGAATGAATAATGTTTATACAAAGCCTCTTATTCCTGCCCCTTATTCTGAGCTACTGTTTCCATCTTGTGGCCATTGAAGGTATCATTGTAGGCTCTCTAAGTGGTGGATGAATCTTATGTACCGTATTTACTTGAATCTAATGCTCACCTCTTTTGGCCAAATTAGGTTGCAAAAATTGAGGTGCGTATTAGATTCGATGGCACATCTGCATTTGCCAGCAATATCTTTTTTGTTTCCAAGGTTCTGAAAACTGAGGTGCGCATTAGATTCGATGGCGCATTAGACTTGAGTTAATACGGTACATCTAGGGCAAGACTGATGATAATGCAAGTGTAGTAAATTCAAATGTATAGCACTCTCTGACCCAAGGAAGCAGGGCTGGTGTCAAGGCAGTTGTTGTGGGAACTAATTCAAAGCAGGGATCCCATTGACAAGAGCCTTTGTACCTTATTGTGTGAGGAGGTAGACCACTAGAAGGGTGTCTTGGGATGAGGGATGGGGTCTTATGTAGAGTGTCTTGGTCAAAGACTGAACAAAATCTGGCATAGACACTGAAAGCAAATAGCACTTGGTCTGTCAAATTTCACTTATGGAAATGGTTCAAGGTGAAATGATAATTTGTAGAAGGAGTTCTACTACCACTCAACATGGAGATAGATAGATAGATTTCCTCCAGACTTCATTAAAACAAAACAAAAAGCCAGGAGTCCTAACTGAAATGACTCCAGCCAATCAGGTCATATGATCTTGCTATTTGGGTCAGTCCTATATATACCCTTTCTTACAAAACTGAATGTAGATGAAAGGGAAAATCCAAGAATTTTGAGAAGCCCACGGAACTAGCCCAGAATTTTAACCAACGTGTAAATGGGGCTGAACAAATATTTCTGCAGCCTGCATATTTAGCTAGATTTGCTGTATGCTCTATAAATCTGGTTGTCGCTTTTTAATTAGAAGATGAAGAAATGTTGGAAGAGAAATTGTGTTGGCAGTTTGCCTGAAATTTATTTACTGTCCGG